CCCGCTTCCGCCGGTCCTTGTCCCAGCCCCGCCCACACCAGGCCCAGCCAGCTCGCTGCCCTCGCCGGTGGCTCCCCCTCCTGCAGGATTCGTCCCTCTCGTATCCGCGCGGTGCTGGTAGGAACAGGCCCCCGAACAGCCACCGTCTTGCGTCATGAAGGGCCCTCACAGACGTGTGCGGACACTAGCGCCGTCTAGCTCTGGAGCCCCATCGGCCCTCGCTCCCCGTCCCGGCCCCCTTGCGAAGCCCCCGGCGGTTTAACCACTTTCCGCCTGGGGTTGCCCGTGTGTGCCTTGCCTGTCGGTGGGACCCTGCCGTGTGTGTCTGGCTGCTCAGGGTTCGTGCACGTGTGTCAGACGCCGTCGGTCGTCGCGGCGTGGACGGACTGCGTTGGTCGCTCTGTGCTTGGGGGCTTCTGCTTCGAGGCCCTAGTGAGCGCTGCCCCTCCTGGTCACGCACGTGGAGCCACCGGCCCTGCAAGGGCCAGAGCACCTCGGTGGCCTCGGCCCCCTCCTGCGCACTCCGCTGCAGCCGGCTCGCCCTGCCGCCTCTCGGGCCCTTCGCACGAGGCAGCCTCAGCCGTCCTTAGCGTGGCTGCAGGTACACGTTTGGTGGTCGCGTCGGCCCTGTCCCCCTGAGCACGAACGTCACGGTTGTGCGTCATCGGCCCCTCCGTTCTGCTGCTTGCATCTCGCCTCCCGACGGCAGAGAGGGCAGAGGCGGGGGCCCGAGCCTGCGCCCCTGGTGTCGCGGCCGCCGCGTGTGGCGCGCTCTGGAGGGACATTGGCTACTGCCCCGTCCCCTGCAGGTGACGCTCGGGCTCCTCTGGTTTGTCAGCGGTCCTGTAGATGCTGCTGCCAGGGTCCGCTCAGCACGTCTGTCCTTGTGCCGGTGGGGGGCTCCTCGTGCATGCTGAGGGGGCCCGGCTGGGGAGGAAGTGTGCGTCCTGCCCACGTGCCCCCGAGACGGCGCTGTTTCTGCCCCTGCTGAGTGTAGGGGGGCACCGGGGGAGATTTTCTTTCAAAACAGCTGCTCTTTGGGGCAGGGGCCCTGGGCTCAACTGACAGGGGCCCGGAGAAGTTGGGGTTCCTCGTTGCCCCCAGGTGTGGCCCTGTCCTGGGTTCCTCGTGCTGGTGTGAGGAGAGGCCAAGGGCCACGCCGTCTGCCCCAGTGAGGCGGCCGTGCTCCTGACACAGCAGACAGGCCGGAGGCCCAGAGAGGCCTGGCCACTTGCCCAGGGCCGCCCAGCGGCTCGTTGGCAGAGCAGGCCCACACCGATCCTGCCTTCTTGAGCCTCCGTCTCCCCATCTGCGACATGGGGGACCCTGTCCCTGCCTGGCAGGCTGGCGTGCACGTTAGCCTGCAGCGTGGGACAGACGCGTGCGTTCAGAGGGTCCCCTCACCGCGTCGCCGCGGGACCTTGGGAGCCACTGGCCCCCTGAGCTCCGTTTTCTGTTGTAAAACAAGGTGATGACGTGCAGGGCAGCCTGAGGGCAGGCCCGACCAGTCACCGCGTGAGGGCGTTTCGGACCCAGCGCCATGGGCACTGGGGGTGGCTGGTGGCCTTGCTCCCAGGGCCTCTGCTTGTCCTCTTTGTCTTCATCGATATTCTTAGTGCATCGCTCACGTAGTCCTCACTCAGCACGTGTTCGCTGAGCTGCTCTGGGCCGGGCTCTGGGCCGTCAGTGACAGAGCGGGGGAGAAAGGCGGGGGAGAGCCGTAGATCGTGCAGGATGTCGCTTGGCAGGTGGCAGATGTGGGGAAGATGGACGGGCAAGTGGAGGGATGGGGTGTGATTTGGGCAGTCACACGGGGACCTGTGCTCAGAAGGCCCCTGTCGGATTTGATGCTCTGCTGTCACCGTCTGAAAATTGTAAATCATTTTTAAACCTGCCCCGCCCCCCAATCATAGCTGGCCCTATGGGGGATGGCAGGAGTGTGGAGTGTAGGGTTGGGCTGGGGGTGCCCGGGAAGCGCTCGCGAGAAGGGGAAGCTCTGTGGATAGCGGGGGGACAGTGCGTTGCAGGCAGTGGGAAGAGCCCATGCCAAGGCCCTGGGGTAGGAGCACATCTGGTGTGTTCAAGGAAGGTGGGTCGTGGCCATACCCACAGCCTTCCCCAGCTCTGCCGCCTCGCCCTGACCCTCTGTGTTTGGCCCCACAGGCTGACCCCCCACTACATCTATCCGCAAGCCATCGTCCAGCCCAGTGTGGTGATCCCGGCTGCCCCAGTCCCGTCGCTGTCCTCGCCCTACATCGAGTACACGCCAGCCAGCCCGGCCTATGCGCAGTACCCGCCAGCCACCTTTGACCAGTATCCCTACGCCGCCTCGCCCGCCACGGCCGCCAGCTTCGTGGGCTACGGCTACCCGGCCGCCATGCCTCAGGCGCTGTCGGCCACAGCCCCCGCGGGCGCCGCCTTCGTGCAGTACCAGCCTCCACAGCTGCAGCCCGACCGGATGCAGTGAGGGCGCCCCCTCCTGGGCCCTGGGCCCGCGGCCCCGGCACCCCCACGCCGGGCGAGCGGCTGGCCGCGCTTCGGCGTGCACACCCGCGCGTGTGCCTCGGGAGAGCCCGCAGGAACCCCCGCCTGACCCCGGATGCACCGGAGACCACTTCTCTCTAAATCCAGGCCCCGCCACGCCTCGAGGGAGGACTTTGGGGAAAAAGACTGACCGAACGCTCTTTGAAGAAGCAACCCAGACCTCGCGCACACCGCCACCCTTCCTCCCGCACCTGCCGCCCCTCGCCGCACCCCAGGCGCCCGCGGGCCCG